ATATATATATATATATTATTTTTTAGATCAAATCCCATACCTGATATGTGATTAGAATAATGTATGACAGAGTGCATGCAATTTTGTGTATTAAATATATAGGAAATATGTCAATAGTATTGTATGTATTAAATCAATTGGTATTTTTCAATTTTGAATATTATATATTGTATCATGATTATTTTGCATTATTCAAATAAAATAACGAAAATATTATTAGTTTTACATTTATAAAATTTACTAATTTTGTAGTTGCTAAAGTGATTTAGATTAGTAAAATTTTATAAATATAAGAACTATACGAAGGTTTAATCATTTAGATGATATTAAAGATTATAATATTCTCAAATTGCAGTTATAATTAAGAAATTGAGACTAGCTCAAATGATAGTCGTTTTTAATTAATTATGAACTGGGTAGGGTATCATAATTTTGTATTACTTAGCAATTAGAATTGATTACCTAATGTAACATGACTAATTGACGAGTGAGATAAATTATGTTATACCCTACTTAGGTGTTATAAAAGATTATTTACACTAACATAGAGTGAACAATAGGTATACTATATTTCACCCAAAGGAGAACTTCTAGTGATATCGATAGCTCATCTTATTTGATTCAAGGTCTTATGTGAGCATCCGTTTATCTTTACCTTATTATATTTGTTATATTTATTTAAGTTGCTATTCCTACTTCATTGTACTCGCATGCTTCTGGTATTAAGACACTCAATGGGTCAAATTTCTCCGAATGGTATGAACAAATTCAATTAACCTTGGGTGTTAGGGATTTGGACCTAGCATTGCTCACAGAAAAACCTGGGAAAATAACGGATGCTAACAGTGAGGAAGAAGTTAGCCTAATTGAAGCCTGGACCAAGTCCAATAGGCTTAGAGTCATATGCTTATTAGAATGACTGTTGCTAATAATATTAAGACTTCTTTTCCCAAGGTTGACAATGCTATGGAACTGTTAACGGCTATTAAAGAACGCTTTAAATCAGCGGACAAGTCGTTAGCAGGGACACTTATGGCTGAATTGACTACCATGAAATATGGTGGTGATAAGGGAATTCAGGAACACATCCTGAATATGACTGATAAGGCTGCCAAACTTGGAGCTCTTGGCATGAAAGTGGAAGAGTCATTCCTTGTGCAATTTATCCTTAACTCACTTCCATCAAAGTTCGGCCCATTCAAAATCCACTATAATACTCAAAAAGACAAGTGGAATTTGAATGAGCTGACTAGTATGTATATTCAAGAGGAAGTGAGATTAAAGTAGGAAGGAAATTACTTTGCATTGGCTGTAACTCATGGAAGTATGAAGAAGAAAGGGAAATTTGTGAAGAGTGGAAAAAAATTCGCACCAAACAAAAGATATGAACCTGGTGAAAGTAGTCAGGATTATGGAAAGGCTTTTGTTGTCACCTGTTACTTTTGTAACAAAAAGTGACACGTAAAGAAGGACTGTGAGAAACGTAAGGCTTGGTTCAAAAAGAAAGATTTTCTTTTGTATGTTATGAATCAAATCTTATTGAAGTTCCTTCTTACACTTGGTGGCTTGATTCTGGTGCTACAACTTATATCACAAATTTATTACCGGGATTCCTTACACCTCGGAAACCGGAGGAAAGTGAAAAGTACATCTATATGGG